ATCAATAAGATAAGATGATGGTTGACTACCTCGAATCACCATCATATCTCAACATAGTGCCCGCGATATCGAGTCACCTAGACTGGTGACCACATTGCAACTTCATCGATAAGATTCGATCTCCACTAAGAAGGACCTGACATACATGACATTGATCACCACATAGTGATCAATCAATTGTAAACAAAACGTTTTATTTAGTACCTAGTTTTAAAAAAGTTACCATTTGTTAAGAAAATAAATGAAATGTTTAGGCAGTCACTGATAGCATTATTTAAACAAACGCCTAAAATAATGTGATTTTGTTAAGTCATATAAATCTAACAGAATATGTAATTTTTTAAAAATTTACGATTCAAATGATCGTATATATAGTATTTAACATCAAAGAGCTTGATTTCCTTCAACCATATCAAATTAATTTATGATACACTTTCGGACACTTAAAATTGTAACCAGATCATAATGTAGATCAATATAATTCTAGCTGAACTATAATTTATATAACAACATTGATCAGTGACTATTGGTTGATAAATATAATACTGTCATAGGATTCAGATACAAATTTTTCAAAGATCAACTTCATTTAATTGAATTATGTCACTTACCCAATAAAGCAAGAAAAAAAATGTTTTTAACTAACATTTTACATAGATATAGATATATAAATTTCAATCTCTCTCTCTCTCTCATTTAACCTTAAAAGTTAAAATCAAGGAGACATACATAAACGAAACCAAGCTGAGAGGTAAATGTCAAGAATTTTTTCATGTGATTTAGTCGAATATATATATATATATATATATATATATATATATATATATATATATATATATATATATAATTATTAAGTATCATACATATGATTCCTGGAAAATAGTAGTGTAAAATTCTCTGAACAAAGTTGGACAGAACCAAAAAAGTGAATATTTCCTATCTGTCAAAGTTAGTTACAGTTTTACTGAATTCCTAGTAACTGATAAATGCGTATATAAATTATTAACCGAATGATTGCCTGTTTATCATGAATAAACAAAATGGCTAAACCTTTTTTTTAATATACTACGCATATACATATTGTATATTGCCTTATTTACTAGTATAATAAACCCAAAGAAAAGTAATCATCAAACATTGTGAAAGATTATGTTTCAATGTAGCATACATATTTTTATCTATAAAATGTGAAAAATGTTCACTTTCTATGACATTATCATCGATATACGCAAACCTCAGCTTTGTGTTTGCATGTAACCTTCAAAGAGATTTCATTCTCAATCCTAAGACGCCTTTATACTGCCTCAAGTTTATAGTATATGTCAGAGAGGTTCTAAAAACTAAGATGGTGGTTGGAGGTAGTCAACAGGAAACCCTGGACGCGGGTTTCGTGCTACTTGGCACTCGTCAGCAAGGTGTAGATGTAATCTTGAGGGAACTGGTGCTCCCTGGTGGATTCGATCTCGTGTCACCCAGCTTCACAGTCAGAGTCACCTAGACTGGTGACCATATTGCAACATGATCGATAGCATTCGATCCGCACTAAGAAGGACTTGACACACATGACATTGATCACTACCTAGTGAACAATCAATTATGAGGTTCTAAAAACTATTTTTCCACACATATTCCACTGTTTCATAGATTGAACTTTGAAGTTGAAGGCTTGATGGCTATCCTGCGGTAAAACTGTCTACCTCACACTGGATGCCTTATGATTATCACAAACTCTATACTACTGAAAAAAACGTGATTACATGATTGTTTCCTATTTTTATGCTTTTTATATTTGAACGTGATTAACAAAAAAATCAGATTTTTCACGGAATAGGGGGAACTAACAAATAGCGTTTGTAGTCTATTTTCTGCCAAGTTTAAATCTTTTTAGTCCAACATAGATCCAAAAAATCATGCTTTTTACTAATGCAGTATTTTGGCACTTGAAAGATTTAGTTTTTGCATTCGAATTTTATTCCATCTACTTTGATTTGATTGACCGCGCTATGCTATCAACCCTACTTAATGTCGATTCGACCTAAAAGTTTTGTATACATTGATTTATTAATATTGCTGATAAAAACATACAAGTTTAACAGAGATAATCAGTATTTGATCCCTCAGATCTACTCTGATCTTTATTACACAAATAATTTGAAATCTACAAAGTACCTGGCAATACCATGTATTTTATTTTTGTTTTCGAATAAATTTGCATTAAGACCTACTAGTACTGTTTTGGAAAATAGGTTTGCATTTTTTCGTAATTTATATTTATCAAAATCAAAATTCAACTTTAAATAAATGACTTACATAGCTCGCATAGTTAAAGGATTATCACTAAATGTAATTAATGGTTGGATTATACCATCTAAATCAGCTGGTTGGCATTCTTTATAGTTATAACTACTGTCATATTTTAAGCATTCTGTTTTCGGCACAACAATCGGTTGGGTTTTATAGTCGTTAATTCTGTCATGAAAATCTGTCTGAAATGTTTAGAAAATCGATACGTTTCGGATTTTAAATAGGCGAAAATGCAGATGAAGTATACAGTTAAGACTTAGTTCAATAAATACAAATGTCATTGGCCTGATTAGACTAATAACTGAAACCTTGCTAAAACGTAGACAAACGATTTTATTATATTATTTATACCATACTATCTTACCAGCTGATGATGGCAATATTTATGAGACATTGTTAACGTTCTCATACAACAAATAAACGAAATAAATTTTAAAAATGCTAGATAAATTGTTATTTGTAGTTCTTGTCTTACTATGTCGAACAATTTATTAAAATTGTGAGTGATTTCAGCTGTACATAGACATTAGTCGCAGTATCACAAAAATCAGATATAAATGGATCCATCTATTGAATCCATCTACGTCTGTGGCAAGAACTAGACTAATAACTTTATAACAAAAGCATTTCTTTATGACTATGAACTTCGAATTCTCTATCTCGCTAATACAAATTTATACCCTGAATATTGACATTTCTAAGACAAATATCAATTCGAAGTTAAACTAATCCATTAGGTTAATTGAGTTATCATTAGCTAAAAGAAATCGAAAACGACTAATGGATGGATAGTCATTATAATCCTTGAGGCTGTATCAGTGAAATGTCGTCAAACAAACAACTAGTATTTTTTAACTATGATAATGAAATCAGTTTGATAGATATTACGTAAAATATTTCATTCATACATATGATGGATAGCAATAAATTATTTCTGCAAAACATTTGGCCAAATCTCTAAATTAAATTCTTAGTGGAGATAGATGGTAGCTATCAGTGAAATTCAAGACGGGTGTTTTGTAATGTTTCGGATGGGTGTATCTGGACCTCATAGTTTCTGTTTACTCCAGGACTCCAAAACTGATCAGTTGCAGTCCTAAACGTTAATGAGAAAATAAAAACTACTAATACAAAAATGAATTAAATCTAACTGGTTTGAATTATCCAGTTGTTGATATTTTGACTGTCTTTCAGAAGTAAGTACCTAGATAGATAACATGATAGCATTTAAAGCAAACAATTATAAGTTCGATTTCAAAAGTGAACATCAGCTCTGTGATGGAAGCACATCTAACTGACAATTTTCAAACAGGACGAAATGTACGTCTTAGATTTCACTCCTAGTCTCATTCCATTTGTTCTTTGTTAAATATCTGAATCTCTGATGTCTTCATTGATTCAGCTATGCTCACTTCAATAAAACATATATTTATATGTATGAATATCTTTCTCAATGATATCTTATTGATTAACTTGAAACAAATCAGAAAACTCATGACCAGTTTTTCATCTTTCGCTTGTAATAGTATGAGTTTTGTTTCTTTTATCTGGGGTTATTTTTTGAATTATATCAGTAAATCATACCCAATGCATTGTGATAATAAAAAGATGGACTCATTTTCTTTGATGCCACTTTCTTTTACTTATTTAACCCCTGAGGACTTAGCAAATAGAATAACTAGTTTAGTTATTTTAAAAGAAAAACGACTTAGAATCAATACAAAGTTAAATGTTTTTTTGGAACAAACAGCGGTGAAATTGATATGTAATTGAAATTTAAATATATTTTTTCCATTATTATTAGTAATTTGTAACTCTGTTTACAGAATAAGTATTAGAAAAAAGGTAATTAATATAGATTATAAGAGTTATTCTGATCAACATACCGCTGTAAGCTGCATATCGTTTGCTTCATTTTGACTTCTAGTTTCTGGTTCAGTTCTGCTCGGAGGGTTCAGATTAATGATAAGAAGGTGTTACATGTATTATTAGACAATAAATCATAATTTTATGAATAATAAAGCAGTATGAATGTAGTGGTATTCAAGTTATTATTAATAGCTTCAAACAAGTCCGTTTTTATGAAAGTTCGTGGATGTTATGTTGAAAGATTTTAATGGATATTACCATTTGTCTTCAATAACTTAGATTAAGTAAATAGGAAATATACTAATTTAATATGTGCTATACAATAAGCAAAACTATGATTTACATGATGTCATTCAGCTGGTCTAAATCTTTCGTTTAGTACATCCTGTCAACCTTCCCCCAAATGCCCTGGTACGGCCGAGAGTGGGGAGAGTCCGCTCTCCCTCTCGAAATGCTCTCACACGGCCACGTGTATACAGCCTCTGCTAGGGAAGTCCTACTCACTGCCTTCTTGTGGCAGGGGTGTTTTTTACGAAAATGAGAGAACGAAAAGCGAATGTTCGGCGCTTTAACCGGATTCCAAATCAAAGGTGCACATGGGCTCCAGTATCCTGCAGGAACAAATGGCGTATGAACCAGTTGTTGGTCACCGGCTTCCATGGAACTGCATCTCCTTACGATGCTCCACTGCCTTGTGGATCAGACCTTTAGGTCGAAGGCTCGGGGTGTGGCCCCCTAAGAAAACCACCTGCTTCGGTTTGGGCATCCGGGCAGTATCACAGCCCTCACACATATCGAATGAGATTTGTGTGGCGCATATATATTTGGTGCCTCCTTGTACCAATATCTATGTGTTAAAGTAATAATAATAATAATAATCCTGTCAACCTCATGTATCAATCAGAAATCATCCTTCAAGCAAAGTAGTTTTACTTTTAATTTAATTTGTAAGGAGTATGTTAGTAAATTCAGTTGTAATATTATGATCAATCATCTCGAAGAACAAGATCTTGATTATCTTTTTATAGTTCAGCAGAAACATAATTTATTTAGTTTGAACTTTAGGTGGATTAATCAAAAATCGTAAGGTACTAATTAACTTACATATATCCACCATGGTGGTGTGGCCAGTAAAATGCTTATCTCCACGAAAGTCACTTGTATTCAATAATTTCGTATAGCAGTATAGGGTTGTGGATATTATTAGATTTTTGAATGAGATCATGAACTGAATGATATTAGATCAGCACTGAAAACCTGGAAGCATTGGACAGCCGTTTTGTCCTTTTGCAGGACTCATCAGCTGTGTACATCCACGATCCCGCCTGTGGGAATCAGACCCAGGGCCTTCAGTCTCGCGCGCGAATGCTTAACCTCTAGACCACTGAGTTGGTATTATTGTCTAACCTCAACCAATCCACGAAATTGCGGGCTTTCAGGATTTAAATGCTGGTTTAACATTAATCAGTTCATGATCTCAACCAAAAATTTTGTTTAAGTTGACGGAAGGTTAATTGACTGTTTATTTGCTTTGCATATTTTAAACTCTAACTAATGAGAAACAAACTGAACATCATGTCTGTATTCTAGCATACAGAAAATAAATTTACAAAACTCTTTATTAATTTGTTGAAGGTAATAGTTGGTTTAATGGAGACATTATGGACTCTTTCGTATTTTTTTAATGAACTGACATGTAGATTACTGGATTTGAAAATACATGAGTTTTTATTGAATAAAGAAATAATAAAAATAGTCCAAGAGGATTTACTTATGTTTAGCACTACACAAAACTTCATAGCGTGTCTTATCTCTGTTCGACTTTGAGATTATTTCAGTTAACATTTTGTACCTCGAATTCCTGGAACGATATTTGAAATGTATTCAAAAATAGATACACTACTTTAGTCATGCCTCACGTTACATAGTGTACAAAAAATCTACATACGCCACTGTTTTATATTCGACCAGAAAATAAGTTGACATGTAAAGTGCAGCTAATATTTCATCCAGTGGGTTCCCTTTACAAACTTGAAATGAGTAAGAAAAACGTTATCAAATTATGTTTGTATTTAAATCCAATCAAGTATAATTTGTCATAAATGAATAATCAATTAGTTTTCAAATAAAGATATTTGTCTGTTGACGATTCCTGTTCATTTTTTCATTTGCTTGACAACTGATAGTCAATAGACGTCAGTTGATAATAATTTAAATTACGAGTTTAAATCGTCATTTTGATAAACAATTCTAAATATACAGTTTTGTAATTATTAATGAACTAATAAATCATAGTTTGAGAAAAGCTTTATATCGGATGATTAAGTCTTAAGTTCATTTACACTCAATATTTCAGTTTTACAAATAAAGCTTCAAGTTTAATTTATTTATTTAATAACTGCTTAAAACATATGTCTGAATAGTTTAAAAACGCTATCATTCTGATGGTGTCCTAATCTATGAAAAATAAACGAGAAATCAAACCAAACCAAATTTTAACGTCGTTTAAAACAAGTGACAGTTACTATGTATACGTATATATTATGAGGCGAATCAGGTCACCTTTTATCAATTAACTAAAGAGATCAAGATATTCAAGTGAACTTACCTTTTGCTATGAGCATGTAATTTCTTCATATTCGGTTTAAAATTTGGATTAAGTTCAATATTCTCTCGAGTTTTTAAATATATTCCAGGAACCATATTTCCATATAAAAGGTCTATCAAGTTGATATTGTTTAAATTCAAACCTGAAATATTCAAAAGACCGCAAAAGAAATTTTTTTCGTTTCTTGTTACAATATTTTTATTGTTTAAAGGTACCAGAAAATTTATTTTAAATAATTTTTTTGAACATTCTTGAATTAGTTTCGGTCCCGTTTCATCAAAATGATTATATAGTAAGACTGACTTTATATATAAGACATTTGCATACAAACGATAAAATTACAGTTAGTGGTTTTGTAAAGAATATACATTCCTATAGCATATTCTTCAGTTGAAGTGTTCAGATAGAAATCTTTTGTTAATACAAGTTAATATTTTTCTCAGAATAAGATTCAGTGGAAATTATCGAATATTCATAAGTTTTATATCACGAACTGAAATTATTTATGTTATTTCTGGACGACGTTTTCATCCTAGTATATCACTCCTCAATTGTGCATATTGACTAATTAGAACTTAAAAATCAAAGCAAAAATAAGGGATAAACGCTTAGCCTCTATAACTCTGAGATGACATTTAATGGCTTTAATGTCTCACATATTTCTGATGTGCATAAAAATAGTTACAGATTCAAACGGATAAGCACGAAAAACTAATTTAAGTTCAGAAAGCATTGAAAAAATCAAAGGATTCACTGGCATCATATTAAGATTCATGCTCATTTGACTTGAACATCTGAAAGTCATAAACATGAATTTCCATACAAATTATACATAGAACATATCAAAGATACAGGTAGGACAAAGAAATTTTTCTCTCTAATTGATACTTCACTATTGCTCGACACTCTGTTTTGGGATTGTTAAATTAACCAACCATCATTTATCCTAATCCTAATGTAAAAGTCTTGATGAAAAATTGACTGAAAAATTGTATTTCCCCCTTCAATTTATTTTTAGTCCATTGAAGAGAATAGTTAATATAATGAAATATCGTATTGATTTTTGTGTGACTGTCAAGTACTATTGTTGCACACTTACATAACTTATATTTATACATTGATATAACAATAATTCAACTTGGATTTGTTTAAACAAGGATTTTATACTTATACATTATGTAATATGGATGAAAACTGTTTTATATTATATAGAAAATGTGAAGATAAATAAACATATTTACAGACAGTTACAGATAACATTAATAGTTAACTAAAGTAATTAATGAAATGTTTGGGTAGATACATAATCATGTCAAAAATTGTTAATTTCTATGTGAATTCATAAAGTCAAGTTAATCAAAAGAAACTCTTTGGAATTTTGTTTAGCATATTTAACATGTTTGTATGATATCGATAAATAAATGAAAGTCAATATAGTGCGAACATAGATTATAGATATTTTAAATGATGAGAATGTTTGTGTTATATCAAAAATGAATTATGTTATGAAAAAGGGTTCCCTAGTTAATGAAGTACATATTTGTACTAAGCAATAAGATGAAATATAGTTAAGTAATTGAGAAATATTTCTCATTACTAAGTCAAGAATATTAGAAACTAGGAAAAAGTAGTTAATAACGCATCAATCATGTATGTATATGACTATACAGTTTTGGATCTAAGATATTCAGCTGATGCTAGTTTTGAATTAAATTCACTTATTAGTCAAAAGAAGTATTTACGAAAAATTAGGAAATTTTTCAGCGATTAAAACTCAAATTACATGTTCACAATGTACTTGATCTGAAACATGTCTCGCATATTCGAGCTGGTACTTGTAACGTTTGGAGGAACATATATCAGATGAAGATCGTATTGTATCATTAAATGACAGAAGAAAATATGAACTATTAAACTATGAGTTGTGTTTATACTGAAACACTACGTCGCTGTGATCTTACATAGATATAGATTTATCGACTTAGATATATATCTGCAGTTTCACTTCTGTAAACAAATTTCTACGTACATATCATTAACCAAATACTAACGACTAATAGTATTGTCTCAATAAAGTTATTCCTCCTTATATGTTTGTAATCCTGGTTTGTGATTTTACAATAGATTAATTTATCAAAAAGTTCTATACATTTTCACGCATCCTTTCATCCAAACTAACCGGTAATAAATCCTTCAAATCCTTTTCTCGATGTGAATTCACTATTGTTATTTACTGACAGCTTTTCTTTCATTTTTGATGCTTCACCAAAATATATTCGTTTTAACAAATTGAAATGTTTATTGTTTTGATCTAAAAAAAAAGAAATACACATACGTCTATTGACATTCATTAAACTATCTTCCAAAGACACCCGTCCGTATAGACATAAGTTAAAACATGAGCTTAATATTATAAAATATGTTGCCAATAAAGAGTGAATTAGACAACCAATTATACATCGGTGTATGAAGACACCTAGATTAAATATCTTATGAGAATGTGCGAGTTGTAAATTGTGTTTCTCATGTATTTGTAGTGGCTGTGATTCGTCGACGTATCGTCCTCGTAACCGTTACCATATAATCCTCAACGGTGTTTGAAATCAGAAGGCAAAGAGAAGCAGCGACTACAGTTTTATTAGCAGATAGCTCAGACCACAAAGCAGTGAGGCAAATAAGTGAGTCAGCGAACCGAAAGTGTAGAGTGTTAAATGTACATGTATATATAGAGAAATGAATGGATCATCGAATCAATTAAGCAGTTAATAATAAAACTAGCACAATGAATATATGCATAGGCGGTAAGCAATGTCCAAGCATACATATTTCATACAAGCACAGCAATAATAAAGGTACATTAAGTTGTTATGGTACGGATGACTTTGTCTGCTAAATAAGTTAACAAAAGGGCTTAACCGAATTAAATGAGAACAAACTCAATTGCACGTGAGTTGCTATACATTTATTATTATAGTAATGCTACAGAAGTTTTTATTATTATCATACTGTTATTTATATTACATTCCAATTTGATATACTTATAAATATATTTGAGTTTCATTTCTATGGCTTATATAATCTACACTTAGCATACATTAAAAACAATCCAAACACTTGTTTAATGTAAACACGCTTTACATAAACAATAGTTCGTTAGTACTTTACAAGAAATTTGTAATCTTTATACAAATCATTTCGTAAGTTTCCACATTAGCTGTTGCGTGCATGACCGTAATGATTAGTACATAAAAAATGCTAAGTAAAGATGTGAATTAAACGATCATTTTAGTCAATAAGTTTCAAGTGTTGTCATACAATAAAATAAGGATTTCAACATCCGAATAATATTTATAAGTACAGATCAATTTACTTTCTGCTATATCATTTTTCTCAATAAAACCATTAGAAAATCACAAGTCTTATCTCTGTTGATGTGTATAAAGAATAAAATTGAAGAATACAAGGTTCAATTAAACCTATACTTTCTTAGTTATTGTTAAGTGTGTTTTATTACGAAGTAGTAAATATTTAATTTTCAGACTACAGAACATAATAAGTAAAAACATCTTAGCTACCTGTTCCTGCTGTCAAGATATTTCAACAAATTATCTGATTTTTTTTCTGTTTCAATACATTATTATGGCTATTAATAGTATAACCTATTCAGGTACATTTGTGAAAATTTGTACAAACTTTCGTTGTACAGGTTACAAACGGCCCAATCAGAGATATTGCGGTTACTGGCAATATACATCGAAAAGAATGTATATTATTTAGATGTCGATTGTTAGAATGTTAACTTGTAACTGGTGATCACTCAGTATTTATCGTCAGGATCGATCAAGAAATAACAAAACGGAAACTTGTTAAAATACTTTGCACTAAAAATTCTATGTTGTACTAAAAAATATTACTAGTATAGGGGTTGTGGAGATTAGTAAGTATTTGATTGAGATCATGAGCCGATTGATGTTAGAACATCGTCGGAAACCTGGAAGCAATGGACAGCTGTTTCGTCCTATTGTGGGACTCCTCAGCAGTGCGCATCTACGATCCCGCTCGGGGGATTCGAACCCAGGGCCTTCAGTCTCGCGCGCGAACGCCTACCTTACTGGACCACTGAGCCGGCATCCAATGGTGATAGTATCTAACATCAACCAATCCACGAAATCGCACGACCATCTTCGATTGTACTGAGGTAGATACCTGTCTCTTCCCGACATGGATTAGCTCCACTAGTCACGGCTTCTCACTAGAACTCCGAGAATTCCCTCACAATGCTAGTCACTAGTGTGTTCGCTAGTAACGAAACGGCCGTCCAGTGCTTCCAGGTTTCCAAAGGTGGTCTAACATCGATCGGTTCATGATCTCAAGTAAAAAATATTATATTGAATAAACATAACAATAATAATAATGTCTTTTAGTTGAATTACATTATTAAATAAAATGTACATATAGATTAGAATATTACCTTCTGTTAGTTTTGTGATTTCATGTTGAAAATCAACTAACAATATACTTTTAGCTTCTTGTCGTATAAATTGAACTATATGAAAATGTCCATCATTAAAATTCACATTTGGTTGGAATAGTGTTTGAGTTCCCCCACCCATATTAAACCGTACATGAAGATTAAGTTGATCCTTAGGACAATGAAAAAAAAGAAAATATTAAAAAAACAAAAGTAATTAAGTAAACATATTTGATGGACGCATAGTGATCTAGAAAATTTTGTAAAAAAAAAACAAAAAAATTTAATTACGATCAAATAATTATTCAAATCAATTATAAGCTTAATGTAATCGAATAATTACATAACTATATACTTCCGTATATTTAGACATATTTCTACCATAGAAAATCATTTGTTATTGTCATCTAATTCATTCTTTGTGTCTGAAAATTATATGTACATATATTCTTTCTTTCTTTCTTTACAAAATAATATAACACAGAATAAACACAATACTATTAATGTAAATATCTCAGAGAGGATGACATTAAGATGTTTCCATCAAGTTACATCCAGCTGTGTTCAATTACACTACTTCTTCTTATTTTTCTTTTTTTCGATCTCTTTGTAAAAATAATGACGTAATAATTATGGATATAAAGGAAAGTTTCTCATCATTTATATTCCTTTTTTCATATTTGAAATAAGATGGAATAGAATAATGAAATATGTACAGAAAGACAATGATACAATGGAAATTATCCATCCATAGGTAGTTAAGTATTTGTATTGTAGTTGTGTTTTTCTGTTATTATTATACACAAAGTCATTATGATTGAAGTTTGAAATGAAATTTATTGTTTATTAACAAAATGTACTAGATTATAGACATTTTTTTCTTTTATATTTCAATAACAACAATGGTTTCATTTAATATTCTAATTCAGAATATAAGTCGTTAGAAATGATGTTCGGTCTACGTAAAGATTGGAGGGATTCAACAAAAGAATTGTTTAGAAGATACCAATATTATAATGATAATTGGTTTCTTATCACCTGATGGTAAAGTTATAAGTCAGTTTTATCTTTGTAATCTTTACAGTAAATAATAAACATGTTAGATAAAGTATTTAGAGTTTTAGATGTTTCATGTCATGTGCTCAAATAATAATATACGTGGTTATTGCTTTGTCAAAGTTTAGAGAGGATAGGGTGTATTAGCTAAAAATGTTTTTCCTTAACCAGTATGGTTATTAAACACTACCAGTTATTTAATAAAAATCAAATATACGAAAAAGTGTAATATAATCTAATGGGTTGGAAGATAAGTAGTCTATGTTGCAAATTTTCTTCCTTACGGAAATATATTTTTTAGTTACGGATTAGCAACTATTTCAGAATGGAAATACATATAGATTCACTTTATACTAAAAAAAATATAATGAAATCTTTTTGTAAGAAATTACTCATCGACAAGTAGATCATCTTTGATTAATACAGGGTTCCATGTTAATACTCTCTAACATCATATACAAAAACATATTTTCACTTGAAAACACTTGAAACTTCTTATTACACTGTAAGTAAATCACAACTCATTATCGGTTAATTATTTTATTAAAATTCAGAAATCACATTACACTATAGTCTGAAAATTTTATGTCTACCAACTAGAAGAGATTCTAATATTCAGTTTGTCATAATTATTTTAGTTCATAAATAAGGTAACAGTTATTGAGTTAAGAAGAGAGTACGTTTACTATATTATAGCTAAATGGTCATTAAAAATATTAGAAATACATATCGGATTACTTTTAAATGGATGTTTCTAACATTTTTCCCAGGACAGAGTGGGTTGGAGAATGCTGGTCGGCGGCCTATGCTCCATTAGGAGTAACAGGCGTAATTAAGTTCCAACATTTTTCGGTTTAGATACTTTTTGTATTATCATCAAGATGTATATCATTACCATTTGACTAAATTCGTCTTATTAAACAAAATTACTTATTATTTTATTGTTTCCTACAATGAACTAATGTTACACATCTAATACGTTACGGAGAAGGAGTACTTTAAGTCGATTTAACCGGATATATTTATTTTTACAAGCAACATGAATATTCATCTTACCTTATTGTGTAATACAGATAACTGTATGAAGTCTGGGGACTGACCTTGACCTTGGATGTGTATTAATGACATTGTACCAGGATTAGTTATTTGTATCCCGAATGCCAGTTTATCTAATGTGGTATTCTGAGGTGAATTCAGTTCAAAAACAGCATATCTTTTAGGGAATTCTGATAGGCGAACTGATGTTCCGGCTGTTAAGGAAAATATTAAATAAAAAACATCTGAAGTAAACAATCATAATCCAATTTCCTGAAAACTCTAAACCGTGTTAGATACTAGTCAATCCTCAAAAACAAATTTTGAAATTACTCTCTCATACGGGATAGGATAGTTACTATTCAAATGTAAATATCGAATAGTAGATGGAAAGCAAAGCCGAACCATCGCACCTTTTAGTTATCAATCTTCATCGCGTTTTGAATTTCATTTTCACACTACTTACTTCCAACTGCTACCCCTCGTGCAAACATAGGTCACCGACTAGTATTCTTCAACCAACTATGTTCTCGGTTCCCCTTTCACGTTGTTTCTAATCGCCATTTATTCCTTTGAAGTCTGCCTCCAATTCCCGACGTAATGGGTTCTTTTGTCTGCCACTTTTCGCGATTTCAAACCAGAGTTCGGCTCGTGATGCAGTTTGATGATTAACCTATTGTATATCCTATCCACCTCTAGTGATTTTTTCTAATATCATCTTCGCCTGTGAGCTGATTTGTTCTGTCACGGTAGCTGTTGCTGATGGTATCCATCCAAAGGATGTTGAGTATCTTTTGTAGACAACTGTTTATAAATATTCGGATATTTTCCATGATAGTTGTGGTAGTTGTTCGAATTTCAGCTCTGCGAAACAGAACTGTTTTGATGTTCGTATTAGCAATTCAGCTGTCGGAATACCGTCCTTGCTTTGTCTACCACATAACACACTGAAAGAGTCATTTTTGGACTTACAGCAATATGCAGTCGGATTGTGCAACAATCAAGCAAAACAGACTAAAAAGTCCAATTGTTTTTCAACTATCATTAAAAATTTTATTCAGTCTAGAAATGTGACAACAATAAGTAGAAAGTGTCATTTAAAATAGATGACTTGTTTTACGAAAATGATCGTCATTTACTTAATAGTAACAGACAAACACATCCAGATGCCAATTTACTAGTCTGATATACCATAAATTACATCAACAAAAGCCTCCAAAGTATATGATATATCTAACTTTTCCTTAGCAATCAAATTTCACTACATATACCACCATGTTTATTTAGAATTATACCATCCTTTTAGCACACCTACTCCTTAATAGATTTTCAACACCGTCAGTCATTTTCATTGTTCCACTTACTCGCATTTCTGTATCTATCATAATGTTGTTCTTGTTTTGCCCATTTTATTTTATCATTACTTTATGAAACACTTAGCCCCTTAACCGCCCAGTCATTAAAGCTGTGGATCTCATATGACCTTGAACTATTATCATTTGCACTTTTAATAATATGTTTCCTCTCGCCGCTATTATGGTCACTTCGCCATTGTTTATGCAACTAGAATGCTACCATTATAATAAATTACTGAAACAATTTAAGCAAAAGCATATTTTCGGTTATTTCTTACCAGTCTTTAGAATTATAAATAGAAATTTTTATTCAGAACTTACAATAGAATTATCATGCACATATATGAATTAAAGAATGAAAATGATGGTAACTGTTTTAACAAATATTTGCAACCATTTATATAGTTTGTTAGAAGTTTATATTTGGAGTGGTGGAATAACAAAACCAATTAATTAACGTTACACTATGTGAATATTTTGTAAAATGAAATAATAGGGGTACATATGATTATAATATTTACCATTGATCAAGGTAACCGGGCAAAGTGATTATTGTAGTGATCCATTGGTCGGTGGAAGAATACATGGTTTTAGCCTAGATAAATCTGATCCAAAAGGCATAATGGTCATTGGCTCCCTTAAAGTTAGTAAACGAAGACGAGCTAGACTAAGCTTTGTTGCGATATGCATATTGTGGGAGATTCTGAATTTACGTCGATTTTATCTTGTGCTCACTAGGTGGAAAAAATATCGAACTTCTAACGGGTTTATTTAGATGTTTGTCTAGCCACAATAGATAATGTTAGACAAATCCGCTGTTTATTTATCAGATCGTTCTGACTATACAGTTACTCCCACAGAAGCACAAACATACATAAACACGGATGGATGTGGCCTGACTTGGAGGTCTATACGATGAATGTATCAGCCGTGCACAGAGCGTTCTGAATATGATTTTCAGTGTATATGCATGTAGTTTGTGTTTAAAGTTTTACGTAGTTCAGCCTTTAACAGTTCATTAATTATATAGCCATTAAAAATTTAAGAAAAATAGGATATCCTCCTGCTCCCTGATCTTAGATGGCTTTGTAACGATGCTCTCGTTTTGTTATTGTATTACTGAAACCTTCTGACACTACTTTATCAAAACAATTTTGAAGAGAATTTTGCAGAATCTCTCATTGTTTATTATGTCAGTCTTCTTACTAAACGTGATGGTATACAGAGATTGATTTAAATAGGCTTAATATTGTTATTTAAACTAGTTTACTACAAAATTGGATGTTATTGCAATTCTTATAATCAGTAACATTGAGTACCACTTACCTTTATCACAGAACTTTCCAGTAAAACCAGTCAAACTACAATCACATGTTATAGAATTCCACTGTTGCATGCAAATTCCATTGAAGCGACATGGATTCTCTGAACACTGATACAGATCTAGATGTTTACTGTCTGCAAAGTGGCATCCCATTTGTATATTGTGCAAACTAACTTTTTGCGTATCATTCGAATATAAATAGTTCACATGGTACCTTGATGGTGTTGTGTTATTTAATTTAATATTTAATGATGACTGATCATAATCAGTGGAATAATTGAATGAAAAAGATGCTACACAACCTTGAAATCCTGTTGTTCTTTGCATGTAGTTACTATATGTATCGTAGTTTGAATTTCTAAAGAAATTTAATAAAATCAGTGAAAATACCATATATGTTTATTTTCTACTACTTATCGCTTTAACAGTACGTTATACAATGTTATCTTATGCTGTACGTTAGTATTTATTTTACCATATTGATTTTGTGCCCAAACTGTACATTTTAAGCTTGATTCTGCTTAGATATTTTAGTCACCTTAACTCAAATGGCGTTTGTATAAGCAGATAATGAAAATTTACCTCGAATTACAAGTAGTAATGAAAAACAAAATACAATGTTCCTTATTCATTTCATTGAATGAATTTATGTATTCTCATAGATTAATATATTCAAACATTATTTTAACAGTAAGCTTTTAGTGAACGTACAACTGACACTCCAAATAACGAGTAATCATGAAAACTTAAATTCACTTTACCTATATTGATGGGCAATGGGAAATTAGAAATACCCTACGTTCTCCAACCACTTTTTAAAGAAATATCTAGCTATAACGAAAACTATACACAAATGTAACTTTAGAAAACTTTTATATGCATATCAATCATTAATTAATTTTCTTAACTTTAACTATTCAGTTTTTAACATCTCTTTCTTTGAGAAAAGAAATCTCATATTTTCTAGATGGTTGTCTTGAATTTTGTAGCTGTTTTACGCATCCATGAAAAAGAAATTTTGACCAAGTTTACTATTTCTTTAAAATGCTTTCTAAAATTTGCATATTTCTATTTAAACAAAAGCTTCTTTACATTTTATTGTTACTAAATTTTAAAATATTGAAACTAAGTTGGTTGTAAATTAAGTATCTAATATTTGATTGAGATCATGAATCGATTGATGTTAGATGACCATTGAAAACGTGGAAGCACTGGAAGGCTGTTTTCTCTCAGTATGGGACTCCTCAACGTGATTTGAAACCAGGACCTTCGGTCTTGTGCGCGAATGCTTAACCTATAGACCATCGAGCCGGCCGGCATTCAACGGTGTTAATGTCTAACTTCAATCAATCCATGATATCGTGCGACCGTCCACCATTGTCTTTAGTGAGTAACTGTGTGAGGTCCTGGGTTCGAGTCTCGTATGCGGGATCGTGGATAAGCACTGCTGAGGGTCCCATACAAGGACGAAAGAGTTATTCAGTGCTTCCAGGTTTTCAATAATGATTCATGATCTCAATCAAAAACGTAACAATCTTCACAACTCCATACTGATAAGATATCCAATTGTAAGAAGTATTTTTTAAAATATTGATATAAGAACAATAAGTATTATTCACCATAATCCACATTTTATTCATACCTTGTAGATAAACTTCCAATATTTATTGTTTTCAAAGCAAAATAATTTGAAATATTCATTTTGACAATTGTCGATTGATTATTGACCCGAATATGTATTAATTTAGTTGATTCTTGTTTGATGACCTGAATTTACGAGTTAAACAACCATATTAGTTAATCTTTAAATTGAAGTTTAAAGACAAATTAAATATATATATATATATATATATATATATATATTATTTCTTATAAAAAAGTGTATAATAAATGCTTTCGATTTGTGAAATATTATGAATACTTCTTAGATAATCAAAGAAGTTTGTGACATTACAGTGAACTTGAAGAATGAACTGTTATTTCACATGTGATTTTCAAGAACGATAGCCTTAGAGACAATTTTCAGTGAGTAATAATCCGATAAACTTGTCTAAGGTGATACTGTACTTAATCCATAGACAAGATTTGAAATAGAGATAACCAAACTCTGACCCAATGATAAAAAAATGTCAGGATTGCTACTTGAGATCAAAGTATGTGATTCTCTTTTCTCCAGACCTATTTATTAGTACCACCAATGACCAGTGAACTAGAATTAAATGGTTATACAATTTTTCTTTATTTCGATACTAATTTAATCCTGTAACTTTGCTACGTAAAACATCTTCAAATTGGACAAATTTCAAAAGAGACTGCTAGTTGTATTATGGTGAAATATCTTCTATATAGTGAACAATTGAGACTAAACTGTTTCAGAAGTACATTTACGGATGGAAAAATAATCCCGTTAAAACATACATCGTTATTGTTATGTCACCCCATTTACGTAGTCATCATGCACAGTCGTTTTGTTGAAGATGAGTAGGTAATTGCAGGAGCGACGTGACTTTAGTAAGAAACTATAGATTTGCAGTTTTTATCCACTATTTTGGGGACACGTTTAGCCTATTATTACTAAAAGAAACAAAAGTTTTGATTTACTCCTGATATTTCAGTCTATCTTGATCACTTGTTATCTTTTTCCATTATATCGACTCTGCTAATTGTAAAGTTTTAATAATCAAAGTCTTGTGGTATACGGTGATTTAATTTATTCCTTAATCAATTTTTACCTTCAATCAGTGAAACAACAGTCTATTGAATGATTTTAAATTTAGTTGCAATGTGTGAAGTATCTGTAACACTTTAATGTGAAATACGTTTGTCTAACTTGGTGAGATAATAAGATAGTTTGAGCTAATGAAATCCACCACCAGTTCATTCCTTTGACTGTGAACAGCTTGTGTTTCGTGAACTCTAACGATACTCTCAAACTTAAGTTTATGGATTGCTAACTAATGACTAAAAATTGATTTTTTTAACTGCTCAATAACAGAAAAGGAATCTGTAGGTATCAATGCCAAGACTGCACTTGATAGTTCAAAAAAAATCTTCTACTCATTGTGAAAAAAATATGTGTATTATTAGATAAGGAATCCATTTGCCTCAATCACAGTAAGATTAAAAATCTACCCGAGAATTTTATTCATTCTTAATGCGTTACCTACTTCGATGTGATACCATTCTCTTACAACCACTCTTTGATTTTCACCAATGGAATATTTCTCAGCTTGATCTTTATTCATGTGTATCAATTGTAGTTTACCATCAATTGATTCTAGAATTAAATTCTGACGGAAACCATCTTGAAGAAAGAGAACTGTACCATATTTCTATAATCAACAAGATGAAAATAAAATGTTGCATAAATATTAATACGAAAATATTTTTCACTACAAATCTAAAAAATCATATGTTAGGAACACTTCAGTTGCGAACTTTTGTCACCTATTTTGGTGTCTTATTTTATTCATGGCATAGATCACTTGAATTCTAATATAGTTTTTCTCTCAAAATGACTAAGTGAGCAAACCAACAAAAACAATGAAATATTAATCAACTGGTTTATTATGTCTTCAGACTCGTAAGCATTAGAGATCCATTACCTCGTCAAGGTTCAAGTCAGCGATGTTGAAATTACACAATAAGAACTTGAAAATCGTCAAGTCGACATTATCGACATGAATTGATTTACGACATCTGCGTCATAATAAATGGGAAAATTTCATAAGCATTCTTGAAGTTCTACTGAAATAGTGTACTAGATGGATTTCAACTAAGATCATAGTGTAATACATGCCATCGAAGTTTACGACACTACATCATGAACTGACAAATAATTTTTTCACATTGTAAATTTGAACGACTTATTCAAATAAATGACTATTAATTACGTTTTTATATAGAAATTTTTATGATAATTAAGTAGCTTCTTAACTTGTTGTAAAAGAAACAAAAACCACAAATTCACATCGTCAGGGTATTTATAATGAATTCTCATAGAAAAGAAATAAAACTGTCGAAAATATTCGAGGGATGATAAAACTGAAAAATGGAAAAACATATAGAATTTTCACAGGATTAAATTCATTCAGATAATAGTCGTTATATCAGTAAGTAAATTTTCAACTTACATATTGATATATATACATTTCGACAATATATAATCCTTCAAATCATAATTCTTCAGTTACAGATTAAGTAGCCCGAAAGTTAAGAGAACATAATCGAAACATTCTAGAGGTTAGGATAGGAGTGGTGATCTAGTGATTACACTGTATTCAGTTTTCAGCAAGTAAGTTGTAAGCTCAAAACCTCAATAAATCCATGAGTACACACTATATTATTCAATCAATACGTGAACTAGATATAATAAGGTTTTTGGTTGTGTATATTCAACGAATAACACCACAAATGGATTAAAATCAAATAATTACAGAACTAAAAGTAATTGGAAATATTTTTTTTCAAAACTCATTTCGTTTTTTTATAGGGGGGGTGGGTACTAATTATGCCTTTTTTTTCTCTTTAATACATTTTAGGTTAATTATCTGAATATTTACTGAACCATCAAAGTAGAAGATATTTATAAAAATCAATTTGACGGAAATAATCTAGCATGAAATAATTTACTTTATTCAATCTGTTTATTTCCAAGACAATAAACTTGTTTTAATGAAATACCCCAATTATAGGTAATTTTTAAAACAAAAATAAAAATAATTGATTAAATCTTTAAATTAAGGTTTATACTGTTATGTAACGAATTATTTAAATCATTATTGTTGTTTCTGTTAGAAATTCCATGCAATTAGTCCCCTTTATGAATTTAAATAAAGCTAGAACCAACATGGATACAGAATAATATGAAGGAACGAATTAAACGAAGAAATTTCTTTTCAATTAGTTTTTCATCATGGCTCTACACTAATATATATACGTTTTACAATAATAATATAATACTCATCGAGTGGATACGTTACGTAATAATTACATAATGACATTTAAATTAACATTAATTAATTGGAAGAAAGAGGATTATTAATATTCAAAGTGATCAAGAAGTTGCTAAGTTGCGTAATGTAAGAAACAAAGAAGGAACAGAATTTTAACGGATGGTCAATAGGATGGTAGTTACGTAAGAATCAAGAGATGAATGTTGAGAAGTTATTAAGTTCAAAAGCAACAGAAATAAATTACAAAAGTTTAAAAAATTACAAAAATTACAAAAGTTTTATAAAATTTAAAAAAAAATGGAAGAAGTATGAAAAATAGTTCTTTTGAAGGAAATCTTAAACTGATGGCCAGGGCAGGGAAAGTGGTTGTACGAATCTCTTTTGTATGCAAAGGTCAGGTTTGTGAACATGGATTGCGATGGCTTCCGCAATGTGCAAGAGGCGCACTCGTAAACCATGTGGCAAATTAGATGGGATATTGTAGATAACTAATTGAAACTAATTGAAAAGAAATTTCTTCGCTCAATTCGTTCCTTCTTTATTTACCAAATGGCAAAATGGGAATTTTCAGAATAATATGAATTCATTATTCTTTCGTGGTTTCTCATCAGATGCTTACAACCAAATATGTACTACAATTTTACATTGACGTAAGATGTAGTGTGGAACGATAGACATAAGTGACTTTAAAGAATTGGAATGACGAAGGTTATCAATAATAATTTTAAGAGCTTGATGAATGTCAGTGGTATGCTAGGTGTCAAGTAAATGCCGAGGTATTGCACTGTTAAATGTCATTATCCCTCGCCGTCTCAATTTCTCTGGAACATGCTCAAAAATGCGATCATGTACTTTTCTCTCGGTTCTTTCAATGTATATACTTTGGAACATACATGTAAAGTGGTAAATGCAGTTGGATCTAATTAGAAAAGAAGGCCTGTCATTATTAGTTTGTTTGAGGGAGCAGTTCGTTACTCATAGCGTCGATAGTTTTGCTGCTGGTCACCTTCAACCCATCTTACCAGTTTTTTTATTCCATGAATCTCATGTGAATCCTTCATTACCTCTAAAATTATCACATAATTTATTTTATCTGTGTCTGGACTTCACTCAATTGTTACACCACCAAATAACCACTGATCTTTTCTTGCACACATGTATATAGTTATTATTGATAACCTTCGTTATTCCAATTCTTTAAAGTCACTTATGTCTATCATTCCACACTACATCTTACGTCAATGTAAAATTGTAGTACATATTTAGTTGTAAGCATCTGATGAGAAACCACGAAAGAATAATGAATTCATATTATTCTGTATCCATGTTCGTTCTGTATTTATTTATAATTATGTTGATATTCCAGTGGTATAATTGAGTAAGTTTAGTGGTCTTTAATTTGTTCACTTTTTTCAGTAGTAATCAACCAATTTATGTAAAACACTTCACTTAGTTGAATGTAACCTGCTTACATAATTTACGGCAACTAATTTATTCAATGAATGAAAGTATTTATAGGAAATACTTAATTAGCTTGTCGAATTGAATTTCTAATCTACAAGCGTTGAGCATAATGTACTCGTGTTTGCTTATCGGCGAATCTCACTCATGTAAGTGGTTTTTGGATATCGTGATTGTAACCTTAATAGTTTGTTGTTGTTGTTTATTTATTATATAAATGCAATGATAGTAATAAAGAGGTTATTAGTAGCAAAAACGAAAGCTGTAAGTTACTAAAGTAATTATACAATAAATTCTTTTTATGTATTCCAAATCATATTCTTACTATGTATCTGACATTTTCCATTCCTCTAGTTTGAATCATCGCACTTGTGCCAACATAAATATATAGAAAATATGTTAAACAAATCCAAGGTTTTCCTAAGCGTTTATATAGCTCAATGCAATTAATTATCTAGGTTAGCACTTTTTGTTCTTGTTTACGTGAACTCACAACGAATAATAGCTCTTCAATAGAAATCGTGGAATAATGTCGGGAAAACATGAATACGGAGAAAGTGAATGCGTGGTGCAAACATTTAATGGGAATTTCATAATAATATAAAAACTTAACAAATGTATAAGTTTTCACAACTTACCTTCCATTTTATCCACATTCCCAGGATAAATTCACTTGTAGAATGTTCAAGTTGAATTTCAATGTTAGAATCTTTATTGTTAAATGTTAATGGTAACTCATGATTTGGTTCATAATTACTTTGAGTAGCTGTAATATCTAGTTTATCTTTCCAAATGTATAAACTAGGATCATGTTTTAAATTTTGCGCAGTTCGTAAAAAGTCGACTCCATTAAATAGGAAAACCATTATGTAACCAATGAAAACATGAACATTCAAATTGTTTATCTGTTTGATGTTGTGATTAAATTGTGTCGGTGTGTCTATCAACTGGTTTGTTAGAGAATCTTCAGAATTGCCAAGGATTAAATGGCGATGTGAAAGATAACGACCATCTTTTGGAATGTCTACAAAACAAAATATTTAATTCATATCAGTTGAAGCTTCTGGAAAATTTCACATTATATAGTGTCTTTATTTATCGTGAAAAATGATATCTTATCGATTGAATGTCTGATAATACAAATTCCTTGAATTCTACACTAAAAGCTGTCAAAGGTATTTCTGAGATGGCTAAGAAGACTTGTAGCTCAGGTGGATGATTTTGATGGGGTTTTGTTCTATGAGATGGATGGTATGGTAATACAGCTTTCGAATACTTCACTTCTAACTGAGGTTTTTACTGATGATGTCATTCGGAAAAAGGATAAAAACTCCACGGCCGAACCATCCAGCTCAAAGAACAAAACTCCATCAAAAGTGATTTCTGTTGAAACAACCAAACTGAAGACAGTGCGATGAATATATTCGGTTTATTAAGGTCAGTAGCTGTTCTTGAATGTTTTTAATTAAAGACTCGTTACATGAATTCAGTTTTTCTTATATGAAGTGTACGAGACTTTTTCAAATGACTTATATATTCTTCAATGAACTGAATCCTTTCTTTATGTGTAGTGTTGAAAATCGGTTTATGCCTTACATATAAAACGTATGTTAACGGGATTCTAGGAGTGACAAACGTACTTATTTCAATTTAAAATACGAAATAGTATTTGAAGGCAGTATTGGTGTTTTAAATGTTCCATATTTATTTACATGAATTGGGGCATATTTAATGATAAAATGAAAATGTTAGATAACTTTTATCCTTCCTGAATAATTTTGACATTACACAAGGAAAGCAAATTATACTTAACCGTGCAACAGGCTGAATAAGTACAAGTTTATTTTACATTGTATATTGACAAATAAACTCAATACCTACCAAAAGTTTGAAATAAATTATCAACGGAGAAGTTGAGAACATTTTGTCTTCTATAAATTTTTACAGTGTGCCATTGATCGTCAGCTATATACACCGGGTTATGGTAAATCTGAAATGGAAAAAGAAAATAAAGCCTCAACATAAATATGAATCAAAACATCAATACTGATCAAGGATACGTAGGCTTGTTTTACGATTTTTTTGACAATTAAAGATCAACTCTATGGTTAATAAATGTTCACGAATTATTGAAAATTAAAACGTCTAGTGTTTTTAGAATGACTTCTACCTTCGAGCATCTAAACAGACATATACTTGAGTAAAATAATTTGTGAATATAACCTTGTACGAACTAAAATTATTCAATTAACTGAACTGGGTTTGTTGGCAATATCATTTATGATACAAGATCAAAGTGAAATACTTCATCTAAGAAAGTAATTAATATAAATAGCAACATGACTGAATGGAATTGGATTATGTAAAAAAGAAAAAAACTATGAATGTGAGAAAATCCCAAATCGATCAATCATACCGATCATTTTCATTGTCATAATTTGTCTTGACACACTTTTCAATATCTATAACTTAGGGCCTTATTTATTCTGTTTAACTAAAATATTTTAATGAGATTAAATTCCATATCTAGTTAATGATAGAATATCCTTTGCGGATCGCCTCGGTATTGCCTTAATTCACAAGCATTATAAGCAATGATGGTCGTTGGTTAGCAGTGTAATTCAAGACGCACGTTTCGTTCTATTTGGAACTTGTTAGCTAGATGTGCCTGCATCTTAGTGTTGATGTTCACTCTGGGAATTTATTGTTTCGTTCCTATTGCATTACTAAATTTTCATTTTTATTTATGATTTTCCGAGTTTATTCTTAACTTAGAATTTTCTTAATAACCTAAAATAAATATTTTTGCTTATGTTGCATGGGTAAAGCAAACCTTAAACGAGTGAAAATGTCATTTGTGTAAACATAGTAACCATCATCAGTTGTGAATTATTTGAGAAAAAAAGCAAATAAAAATATTTACTCAATAGAATCCAATTTTTCAAGTAGTTTTTTGAACACATTTCGAAAATTGTATGGAATGTTATAATTTCATTTATTACTATAATAAGCCTAAAATATTTACACTGATGTCTTCCTCTGTATATCGTGTGTTCATGTACTATTAAGTAAACATATGAATGAAAATTGAAGCGAAGCTAGTTTATTTACAGAAAGCGTACATCGTTTATTGAACCAATTTTAATTATAGACTTAAATAGGTTACTTGGCACAGAAGTCACTTCGATTTTTCTAAACATATCGTTGAAACGATATAGTATACAAAAAGATGTTTTCAACTATCATGTTTTTAAACAAGCTTGAGAAAGTAATTTATATGTCGTTATTATTCATTTGATAGAAAAATACTACATGGCATTTAATTAGATGTTTACAAAGGTATACAAATCCCATGAGTAGCTAGAAACAACGAAAAATCCTATTGCGTCAGGCGGAGAAATAAAAAGTGATATAAAAAAAAATAATTTTCATTACTAAGGCATTGCTTATTAAACATGTACAATCGTAGGTTAAATTTCAATCCACAATGTTATCAAATGAGTTTCTTGAGTTTAACAGTGAGAATCCACGATCTCGCACGCAGGACTCGAACCCAGTATTTTTGGTCATGACCATCGAGCCAACTGGTATCCAACGGTGTTGATATCTAACTTCAACCGATCCACGATATTGCGCGACCTTCCACCGTTGTGTTTTAGTAACTGCCTCTGTATGGGGTCCTGGGTACGAGTCCCGCGCGCGGGATCGTGGATGAGAACTGCCGAGGATCTCATACTAAAACAAAATAGCGTTTCAGTGCTTACAGGTTTTCAATGTTGGTCTGACATTGATCCATTCTTGATATCAGTCTAGATGAAATTTAGTTGATAATACAATGGGAACACGTAAATGTACTAGCGAAATGTTATCGTTTTCCAGCTGTTATGTGTATAGTTTGAATATATGGTTAAAAGTATACGGTTGTACAAAAGGGATATTTTTATAGGCATATTTTTGACAAAAGATTAATTGAAACTTATAAAATATTGCATTGCGGTAACAACAATATGTAAATAAATTAGCTTGCGTAAAGCAGCGTTCATATATACAAAGGAATTATTTTTTATCAAGTAACATAGAGGCTCAATTATTGACTTGTTGATATTTGTCAGCTTAACACTAGTCTATGATGTTACATTTGTAACCTTTATATTTGATAATTATTTGAAACCTGTCTTCCTCACTCTCAACTTTGAATAAATGAATAGATGTGGCTTTCAAAGTTTAATTAACATACAATTTTACACTGTCATTGCTGATCAGTCTCGTGTGTGAATCTAGAGACAATACAATGTGAGCCTTTTGTAATTGATGTTACCAAGTTATTTTGTAGTAATTCAAGCAGCTGAAAAATCAACAAATGCTTTTAACAAAGCCTAAAATCCCCCAAAGTTAGTTTTCATTTTTACGCGTATTTTTTCCATATTTCTATTAGAAAGAGTTTTGTACTTAAATTTCCTACTCAACTAATGAAACACATTTTATGCTCGTTTTTTATGGAGTTAATATTTGATTTTTGTGTACATTGATAAGAATATTTTATAAGGATAGACCATTCAAAGTGGTCAATAATTAAGTCGTTTTAAGTAAGAAACTATTCACAGTCACTTTCACTACTTGTTAAATCAGATCGTGGAGTGGATTTTTCAATTCAGTACTAAAAATAGATTTATGTGATGAAAATGGAAAACTTACTAATATAATACAAGTATGTGCACAATTTTTCATTTAGAATTCAATAAAGTTAGGAAAAACTACTATTGAGAAACGGGTAATGTTTGAGTTCAGAACTGTTTGTAGTAGCTTTATCTCCAACCTTAGTAACTATAGATTCAGCAATGCTGTATTACTATAGCCAGTCAACAATATTTAATGTAAACTAGTCTAATTTGATTTATTCATGACTAAAATACTTTTAAAAATATGTGATTAGTTAAGTTGTATGTTCGAGGTGTAATCATTAGAATGTGAATTTGTGAATACAAAGCAAAACAAATCAAATATTATATTAAAGTGATTAGGATGATACTGCAGATCATACCGTACGAACTAGAAAAAGTTATCCAATTAAAAATAATTTGAACTCAATGTTAAATCAAAAATTAGCATAACACGGCATCAATTGTCAATGTAATACTGAATGAAAATGACAATCCAATTTGGATAAATATATATTCAAACTTACATTATCTATTGCACCTAAATTATATATTAACGATAAATAGCCAGAAATAATTTTCAATTCTAAACAATCTGGTGCTGACAAAATAGAACTTCGTGTAGTTAGCAGAAATCCATCTTCATATTTAGTTCTAAATCTTAAAGTCAATTCTTCAACGGATGATTGAATAGGTAATGGACTGAATTTTATCCATAACCATTGAAATCCATCAAAGCTAACAATAATAGGATCTAAATAATTCAGAAAAACATGTATTCATATAACATTGGTCGACATATAAATTTTACCAATTTCAAATTAATATTATGAAGTGAATATACAACGACAATAAATGAGGTGAAATTACACATGAGTCTTTATGTATGTATGTTCGTGTGTGTGTGTGTGTTTGTGTACAGTTGATGTAATAAAACAACGCCGTTTCCTTTCTTCAACTTTTTATTTTACTACCAGTTCAATGTTTTATTTGGAATTTTGTTATATTCTAAGCAATAAATTCAACTATCTTCATAAATTTTCTGAACTAATAATTGAAATTTTGTTCTTATATTATCACCAGGTATGTTGTGCCCATTGTGTTTTATTAAAATAATTTATTGTCGACTAGTGATTAAACTTTGATTAATTAACAAACTTTATGTTGATATGATTGCTGATTATGTAATCAAAAGAAAAAAATCACCCTAATTTATTCATTATTTTTTTTCATTTATTAAAATGTTCTCTCCCATTTGTAGGTTTTATTCAATATATCACCTTAAATCTTACTAATTCGATTATGATCATAATAAGTTTCTGTGGTGCTTGAATGGACTAATGATTCGTTTGTACTTATTGAACTCTTGATTTCGAATTCCAAATACAGTACATTCGTTCGTGCTTATCTAGTGCTTCTTGATCCGATTACGTTATTTCTGGGATTCTTAGTTTGTACTATAATTAAAATACTTTTAATTATCACATTGACGTCGCGATGGAGCCTGTGATGGGATTGTTGGATATACATTCAGATCTTGATGCTTTTGAGGATTAATTTGAAAGGTTCGAAATTTGGGCTATGATGAGGATGTTAATATTGTGGCACATTTCCTCACATTCATTGGAAAAGAAGCATATAGCTTATTAAAAACTCTGGCTTTATCGGATAAGCCCATTTCGCTTTCTTATACAACTCTCAAGGATCTACTGCTAGACTATGTTCAGTATACAAATTTCATAAAGGAGGAAGATTTCGTAAAACGATTCCACTACATTACGTCATCCCAATCCACTGTATACCAAAGGTTATGCAGATTATTTATTGGGGAAATGCGAGGCAGTTCACGAAGATGGGCACTAGTTTGGTCAATGTTTGTTCTGTGGCAAGTTCCACTGAGTGATTTAAATGTGATGATATTGGACATATTCAATCAGTTTGTATTACTACTGTCCATCTTGCTGCAACGAATATTAAGTCTTGTAATTCTGATTCTATTAAGTTCAGTGTTCCTAATGATCATTTATCCTTATCAACGATTTCAAAAGACAGTGTAGAGTCATATAGCAGTTCAGAATTAAGTGAAACTTCTATGTATCACAATTTCTTACTAAACAAAAACAGTTACTATGGAGCAAAATGAGTATTCGGTCATTATAAGGAAACACGGATTATTTTTAAATGATGTAATTTGTTAATATATGTAGTAAATTGATGTATGTACTTTGCTGTTTGTAGAGCAAATGCTTATTTTTAATAGAAATTGACCAAATGATGTCAATATTAAACGACAGTAAACGACGTGTTAATTCAAAATAATTTGTCATACGATGATTATTTATTTTCATGGCAGATAGTGAAAGTCGAAGTGTAAAGTATTTCTAAAGAATATAACTTCAAGATATTTCAACTCCGTTCGTTCTTATTAACATTAAAACAATACACTGACGGGGAATTATAACCAGAATCTGTTAGACTAATAACATGTGCATAGCTCTTCTCTGAATACTTTTATCAAACATGATTAAATTGTGATAAGCTCCTGCAATAAGCTATCTTATATTGTATATACTTTTATTAGCAACCAATCTCAAGCAGCATCAGTTCCCTCAAGAGTACAGGTACACTTTTCCGACGGCTGCCAAATACAGGATTTCCTGTCGACTACCTCCAATCACCATCTCAAATGATCAATATCCAATTACATATTTACGTTCAAGGCATACCCAATAAAACAAACTGAAATGCTAAAACACTGGTAAATTTGCGTATTATCGACTATAGCACTTTGATGGATTTTTACGTCTGTTCTCGATGCTGTTTTATTAGTAATAAAACCCGGTCATATGAGTTGTTAATATTTTTAGTATAAATCATTCTAGACAGAATCCATAACAGTATTCATCCACTACCCTATCAAAGACTGCATTCAGGACCTACAAATCCTGCGGCCAGAGAGTAACTTTCAGATTACTGAGGCGGCTGCCATTGGTCTACAGTTCTAGCCTAAATCAATCAGTGATATTATGTGGCCGTTATCCAGCACCACTGATGTTATTTATTTCACATCCAACACATTTGAACTAAACTGGAGAATGCCAAGCTTAACGTTTCACATCACTGACTTGCTTTGGTTTTTTTTCAAGAAAAAATAGATGAATTGTTAAAATCTACAAGGACTTACTTTCTGTACATGTTTTTCCACTAAAATTAGTGTTGCTGCAATCACATTCATAAATATTCCAACTAGAGGTGCATTGACCTTTATTTCTACATGGTTTATCTGTACAAAAATCTATTGATGAAGACAATTTACATCCATTTTCCACAAATGGCTTAGACCAACATGGTCGCCTTTCTAAATCGATATCCCATAAGCGTTTATTTACAATGAATTCACCTAAACATCCAACAAAATCTTGTCTTAATTGCGCTGACCATACTTCAGGCGATATAAATGAGTTAATTTGACGCACTGACTCAGGAAGACCTCCAATATAAAAGTATTCATTCAAATTCAAGTATTTATATCTAGATACAAAAGCAATAACATATAAATAGTTGGTTTACAATTGCATAAGTGAGTAATCAAATGAAAATTGATTTGTTGGTGTGTTTTTAATATGCTCTTAAGGTGATGGAAAGATGAATTTTATAAAGTTTGTTTTAACTATTAGCCTTTATTGTAGTTAGTCGAACCTTTGTGATTTATTTGAATATTTGTAATACCAAACTGGTGATTGTTGAATATGGCAGATTATTGTGTTTTAAATATGCTAAATTGAATGTAATGAGCTCGAGTCAAAATTCATGAGGGAAGTTTTCATTTGCAAACAATTCCATTCTTATGTGAATTGGTTTCTGTCTTATTTACTAATTAAACCATTACAAAGTTATTACTACTTTCTATATTTTCTCAACAGTCGTTGTACATCTTCTGAAGTACATTCGCAACCCAAGATATTCATTTCGATCTTTCATAAGGAAATAATCTTTTGCGTTTAAATCATTTTTATTAATATTCTTAAGTAATTGATTACATTTCTAAGAAATATTCAAAATGTTGGATCCTTACCCCTATTGCAACACATTTGGACATTTATCTCAATATTATCTAGATCTCGTGATGGTCTACCATAGAATAAATGTGCTGATTTGAATTTTATGTTTCATATTAGATAGTTAAAATATGTTATTTAAATTCATATTAACTAAGTAGTTTTAAAAGGGACAGCTCATTCTCATCGTGAGAAGTAAATTTAATATGAACAGATAATAAACTTATAAGTTTAGATGAATTTAATGGTGAAAGTGGATTATCTGGTTTCCCAGGATAAATGTGTTCTATGTAATATTATAAAAAATGTAAAATTCTTTACATCGTGTAAATAGATGTACAATAATGGAGGATACAGTTAGTCAACTGGCATCTACATCTATTTGGTTACAAAATTATCTCAGGAATACAAATAAAGTCGTGTTTTATGGATTATAAAATAAAACTGACGTTTAAGATGTTTTAGCTTCATAAAGTGTGAACAATCTTCAGTGTTGCATCAGTTTTTATAAGATACTCATGAAAAAGTATTTTGAATAAATAGTAACCTATCGGGTAGAACTAAGTCATCTTTTTGAAAAAAAAATATCATATAAGTATATATGTATATAATATGACTTGTAATCTATACTGCTGTTATCAGTTAATAGCCCTTGATCTGACTCCAGTTATATCGTATGATTGATTGTTATTGAAATATACATATCACCAATTCTCGTATATAATCATCAACCTAAATCGCGTTGGTGAATAATGGAATTAAATAAGTCAAATACGTATATTTTGTACAATCGTTGATCGAGAGAGACAATCAGAGAGACGTAGCGAAGGAAGTGAAGAAAAGGGAGCGAAACGAAACGACGCTCAGTGGAGAAGGTATGTAAGCCAACTTCATTTAATTAAGCGTTAATCAATATTTATAGTCACACGAATATAAGCTACAGACATGTGTGAGTAGGATAAGATGTACACACACATAGGCTCGCATAAAAACAGTAAATGTTGGTAAGTAGATAATTAACGATGTCAAAACGTGACTCAAAAAGAATGGATGAATTGGCCAGTCCATGAGCTAGAATAAGTTATATGGGTTTAATATAGTAACCGACACTATAATCAAAACATATTGCTTAGTACTTATAATCCATGTTCTGTAAACTTTTTTTGAGTTTCTCATCATTTCTGTTATTCTTCAGCCAGCAATCTGTTAAAAAAATATATTATGGCAAAATGTCCTGAATAGTGAACAATTTTGTAAAAGCTAAGCAGAACTTATTTTTCTAAACAAACTTTAATTGTAAATTCACTTGGTGTTGTTTTACTTGTATCTTTCTATTGTTATTTAGAACTGTAATTGATCAATCTCATGTTGGCATATGTGCATCCTATGCGGATTGGCTCGATATATTCTGTAGTCACAAGCTTTTTAAACAAAGATGGATGGTGAACATAGAGTGAACATCAACTCTGGGATGCAGTACATCCAGCTAACTAGTCTCAAATAGGACGAAACGCGTGTCCTGAATCCCACTGCTAGCTACTATCCATCTTTGTTTAAAAGTCTTTATCTGTATTTCGACTGATAATAAATTGCATTTAAATAGTATCTTAGATTTCAACAAACACAAAATTACAGGTTTAATTTATTTACACAATATTTTACTTAAATATTCCAGTGTATATCTGAATATCAAGATCACATAGTTTTAAAGCTATAATTAATGTTATTACAGTTTACATATCATTATAAATAATGTTTAGTCTATTATTATCATGATCAAAACAACATAAGCTTACGTTTTAATTCCTGTACCATGTGTTACAAAGTTTTCACCATCAACATTTATTATTAAATCTCCTTCATCGAATACAATTTGAATAGAATGTTCTTTTCCATCGGAAATAAAACCTTTACTTTCTGATTCAAAATATTTTCTATCAAATTCTGGTTGAACAATACCTGATCCAGTATTTAATAAAAAATGTAATCTTCCTAAACGTAATTCTAAAGCAAATATATCGTAACCAGTTTGTTTGACTTCATGAATATTTTCTAATAAATTTGGTTCATTAATATTTTTTGGAAATAATTCATATTCATTTATAGAATTACTATAAATAATTAATCCATTAAGAGTAGTTGTACGTAAAATAAATGTGATTTCACCATGAAGTACAACTTTCCATCCTGTGATTCTTAAATAACTACCTGGTTTAGTAAATGATACATAACTGTTTACTTTTGAATGATCTATATTTATGTTTCGTTGTAATAACTTGTAATCACAATTACGTAAATTAGATTGAATTGGTAGTTGAGATTGAATATATTTTGTGTTTTTTGTAATTAATAATGGAATAAATAATTCTCCACTTTTATAAATAATCTGTAAGATAAATGAAATATAAATTGATACTTTCTCATATGTGAATCACAAGTTAAAAGTAGTTAATTAATATACGAAATCCTATAATTGTTATTCAATAGTAAAGTTAATTTTTGATTGAAATCATGAGTCAATTAAAGCTAGACCACCATAGAGAACCTGGAAGCACTGAACGACCGTTTCGTCCTAGTATGGGACTCCTCAGCAGTGCGCATCCACGATCCCGCACCCCGCCAGATTCGGACCCAGGATCTATCAGTCTCGCGCCAGGCGCCTAACCAACTAGACCACTGAGTCAGCATCCAATGGTATTAATGTCTAACTTCAACCAAACCAAGAAGTTGCTCCACCGTTCACCGTTGCTTAGTATAGTCTATTCTATCATTCATAACTGATCTACAATGCCTGTTTGATATCGAAATTTTTTTATGAAAAGTTATTTCTTTCTTCGAAAATTTTTTTTTTAACATGGTTACTATTTAAAAAGATAAACTTCACACGATTGTCGTAGAGCATTTATTTACTGATGGTAAACTAATCAATAAAGTTGAAGTTCGTCTACATTAAAATTCAATTTTCTTCTTACTTTTGTTATTATTCATTGTAGAAATCATAAAGTTTAACAGCGATGCCAAAGAAAATTCGTCATTAAAAAAAATCAACTCTAGATGTTTTCGTTTTCTCGCTAAACTCACGTATATCCCTCAAAACTTTGTAATTAGATATTGACTTTTAAACTTAATGTTACCATAAAGAAAAATAAATTTACTTTGTAAGATGAATTAGGCACTAAATTAAATTATATAAGTTTCAAATATGAGCCAATACCATCCTTTCAATCATGAAGAGACGGATGCTACTTAAGTGATATGGAAAAACAACACCTATTGTTATAGATAATAAATTTATCACCGAATTGTTTGTGCTCTAGATGACTTTCTGTAGAACTAGAATTTTTCACACTGATTGATCATTTGGCAGGAAACAAGGTCTTATTTACCTGATTCTTGATGTTGAATGAATGCTATCTGTCGCATTCAGTTGATTAAAGTTTTTGACGAACGACTAGAATATATTTGTGCTTCGTGCTTTTTCATAATCCATGAAGTAGAGAGTTATATACTACTCTTAGTCGTTAAACGTCAAGCAACGTTTGCCAAACTAAAGTAACATCAGTTTGTTACTGAGAATATTAAATAAATAAAATTCCCTATTTATTAACTTTTTAAGGTACTAAAACTCGCATCATTAAACACTAAATATCTATAAACAAGCATCATAATTCACGGTGTCCTACTCAAATCCCAGGGCAACTAATGTTTCGAAAGTACACTTATTGCTAAAAGTTTTGTTGTTTTAGATTTATGTTAATTAACGTATAGTGTTCGTGAACCACCTGTGTTTATGCGATTCCATTTTTAAAACATATCAAGAATCTAGTTAATGAAAAACCCATGATATATTACCACGATGATTCGTATATTTTCCTCTCTGTCAATGCTTTGGACAAACAACAGTTGATCATCATACAATATATATATATATATTTCGAATGTATTTCGCAACGCTAAAGATGTCATAGGAACAAGACTAGTCGTAAACAATGATGTGTGAATTCGAATTGTCGCTTTTTTTTAAAATCTGTCTATTCATCAACCGAATGAAAATATTATACTTATCACTCATTTTAATGCATTGAGAGGTAGTAGAGGAAAAACCTAAATTTCATTGTGAAAATTAGGAATAGAACTTTGATTATTTTCAGAGTCTCTATTATGACACTGATACAACTTGACAAAATACTATTCGAACCATTAGTTGAATTCATGTTTAGACATTTTCCATTAACACAAATACTTTATGTTCAATTATTCAAATGAAATTAAAATAAGGGTAACTTTCCAGAAGCCTAGAGATAATTAATTATCGATGTAAATTCAAAAGTTGAGATCATAAGTAAATTGAAGCTAGACCACCATGAAAAACCCGGAAGCACTGGACGGCCGTTTCGTCTTACTGTAGGACACTTCAGCAGTGCGCATCCACGACCCCACCTCGAGGGATCCGAACCCAGGACTTATCAGTCTCGCGCCAGGCCCTTAACCAACTAGACCACTGAGCCGGCATCCAGCGGTGTTAATGTCTAACTTCAACTAATCCGCAAAATTGAGCGACACATCCACCATTATCATCAGTGAGTTACTATCTCACAACTGACCTGGTTGAACTGCACTAGTCACTGATTCTTACTAGAACTCCAGAATATACCCCTTGAAGCCAGTCACTAGTGAGCATATGTTGATTAGTATCAGAAGAGAATTTGTCGAGATTGTAGTAATTTCAACAATGAGATCATGAGTCAACTGAAGCTAGACCACCTGGAAGCACTGGACGGCCGTTTCGTCCTATTGTGGGTTTATGATGTGTTTATGCATGATTAACAGTCTTTTTTTCAAATATGTAAATAATTGCAAATTATTCATAATTAAGGATTCTGTTATGATCGCTTATTTGTTTTTTATAATTATGCTAAATTGATAGTAGGAATTATCGAAAAATTAGGTAGGACAATAGTGATAAATAATTTTGCTTTTACCAGTTTTAACTGAAACTAGTACTAATCAACCGCTCAGTTAAGAAATTAATGAATGTTTACTACAATGATTTCTAGATGTTTAGTGAGCAGATGTACCTGTTGAAATTTAAGAATATTTGGAGTAAGACAGTTAGCTTTTCTGCTACTTGATGAACTTTTTAGAGTTAAAAATTCCAAATACTGAATATGTACTCAGAAAAAAGTTCACAAGCTGATCATGAGACCTAAAGGAACTAATTATGATCTATGAAGGACATAGTTGTCATGCTGCTGAAAATTTTCAAACAAAGAATAAAGATCAATCTAGTGCTTTCTGATTTTGAGTTCATCAGTTGACGTCAATCTTTAATGAAAATTCACTGCATCTAATTACTGAAAGTCCCATAATCAAAAAATTTTATTCCTTAATGGCTATTGTCAAAATGATCAAGTGATAATTATTTAAAGTTAACAATTAATTTTACAAAACATGAAATGATAATAACAACAAAACTGCTTTAAATTACATAGCTGAACCTTAATGAAATGCAATCGACAAAGCTAGGGAAACATACCGATTGAAAGCAACCTCTAAAATTTGTTAGATTCCCGATACTTGGATTATATCGTGTAAACGTTTCTTTTGAAGTATTCAAAAAACTTCCTCCCAAGTGCATAACTCTTATAGTAATTAATCCATCTTGACCAAATGGATTTAATTTGACTTGAGGTTGACTGTCAAGTACAAGTAATATCTGTAAAACACATGCAGAAATTACGTTGCAGTAATTTAAGTACATGAACCATCAACTAACAAATTAAAATAGAAATTCAAAACAGTCATCCCAGAAAATGATAATTTTGTGCTTTATTATGTCTTCACGTTGAATTGAACAATTAAAGTTATATATTACTCAACGATGGTAAATAAGCTATTAAAACAAAAAAAACTAATTAAAATAAGCACTCATAAATTCATAAATTTGGGTTTTTTGAAGAAATTCCAGATAACACGTTTTGGAACGTAGCTCGTAATCTATCTCTTGGTTTTTGGTTCTCGAAATGAATGTCATTCAGAATCTCATTAAACTTCAAAAGAAAATGAACAACCATTTAGATGAAAAAAGTGGACATGGACGTTTACGGTGATAAAAAGTGCTTCGTTTACCATGGCTTAATAAATTTATTGACTTTATGCAATTGTATGTATCCCTTCACATTTAAACATTAGTATTCAATAGGGCGAGTAACTCGTTGGTATGAAACAATCATAGTCGGACTGACTGTGGCTAGAAGTTCTGAATGACGTTGAGCAAAAATGTTCGAATCTTAAGGAGACATTTATTCCCATCAACATTTTAAACAGGTCTTGCTGATAAGTGGAAGATAACACGAAACCTATGTTTAGGGCTTTCTCAAGAGTGATTCCAAACATATTGTACCAAAATGTCCAGTTATTTACTAGAGGGCTTAGTAAAACGTAATCGATCGAATTTGATCCCTAATAATGACCAGACAGTGTGATATTGATTATCAATAGGTTATCCATTAGCATTAGAACCACTATTATGTACCTAGCACCACGGCATGTAAACACACTAGTTCTTTTACAAACTGAATCCCTAGCACGAAACTGTACCAGTTATTTTATGTCTCATTAAGCTAATCAAGCTTGGACATCTATAAATAATTTTTGCACGTGAGGAAACTGGTTATCTCTTTACATATTCTGCTAGTTAAAATGTAATACTTTCGTAATCTAACTGAATTTTTATTCCCTTCATTTTATTGTTCTATAATATTAGACTATTAAAATTTAATTCACATGATTTACTCTGAGTGTGTCATTAGTTGACAGTTGACTTTCTGATTGAATGTAGATTTTCAAACAAATCAAGGTGCTTTAAAATTTTATAAATCAGAATGAATTTTAAAAAATTAAAAACTGTGAGACTGTGTTAATGACGAATACTTACGTTCTCATCATTCTAGTTGCCCCTTAAATAAGTTAGATTATGATGCTGAATGAAGTTATGTCACAATAATATACTGTAGTGCTCAATAATTATATCTCAGTTTGGTGAGACATTCTCATTCACAGTCTAGGTTAGTCAGATTGTAAAATCAGAATTGGATTGAGTATAACTTAGGTATTACTTACTTACGCCTGTTACTCCCAATGGAGCATAGGCCGCCGAAATGGGCAAAAATAGATAGTTACGTAATACACAAGGTCACTCGTTTTTGGACAGTTCATAAATATTGATGTAAACTAAATATTCTTTTGCAGGTATTTCAATTATATAATTCGTAATCTGCTGATCACTGAGATTTGGTTTGATTTACTAATTAATAATTTCTGATAACTATGAATTGGATTTACAAACTTATAAACCTCATATTTTAATGTTTTGAAAAGCTCTATGTTCGTTATATTTGCTTCCAGGTTTTCCATGGTAGTCTAGCTTCAATTGACTCGTGATCTCAACTACTGAAATTATTGTAGAAATCTTACATAAGGGCTTTGTCTCTTCTCGGATGGATTTTTTTTACTTTGATGATATCTTAGTGTACATTTTCCAGTATTCGTAAAGATAAAGTACAAAACATCGATTGCATTAAATATGAATATTTGGTTGTTAATCATCCTCGCCTTTAATGAATTAATTTGTCCTTGTTTTCATTTAACAAATTTTTGTAAAAGTTCTATTAGAGTTACAAAGTAGTTTAACTTAAAACTTACATCATTCTTTTTTATCGTCAATAGAATTTGATGCCATTGTGTGTCAGCGCAAGTGTCATAATCAGATATACAGGAAATGATCTTTTGAGTGTTTGCATGGTTTAAATAAGGACGTTTTTCTGAAAAATGGTTAAACAGATTCACAACCAATGCTCCATCTAATAAGTAACCAAGCAGATAAGAATCAACTTTCATCTTTGTATGTTGCGTCAATATGCTGGTTAATTCTGTTATAAATATGTGAAAAAAAACTTTAAATTTATTATACGTTTAAGGAATATTAGAATACAGATTAAAACATCAGAAGCTTTGTATCCAAAAGAAGCAGGTTTAATTATTTTTGTTACTTTGGTCTGCCTAAAACTCAATAAATATACTTATCATACAATGATCAACTAAAGCTAATGCTGATTGTCTGCTACCCTCTTTATTTTACCAAGATAATTGTTCAGTAGTCAGTTAGTTTACTTTCATATAGCTAAACATTACATGTAATGTATATCATATATTCACTATCTCATAGTTCTCGTTTCATCAAATACAGTGCAATCCATGATAATGTAATGTTGATAATGTAATTATGATAATAGAACTCTGATTATATTTATTCCTATAAATAATTTGTTAGCCAGTGTAGACCTGATTAATGAGATGTTCCAATATTGTTCATCTTAATTGATCTCATCTATATATGGTTTACCTGGCTGAAAATGCTGATTATAATGATTGCTTCAATATTGTTTTATGAGACACGTTTAAGATTTTTAAGCAGCATATTCTTACCTTTTATATTCAAAGTCAAGCATAAACTCGACATATGTAAATGAAAAACACGGATCGATCTCAGCCGTAGAAACATTAAAAACAGGAATTTTTGAATAACCATTATGTCTCAATCTGAAAGTTATCATTTAAATCATCTCTATAAAACTTCCTGTCATAAGTGTTTTATTGTTCTAATAATTACCAAAATATGCTCTATCGTAGTATTACAACGTAATAAAATGATTGTCTCGTACGAGCCTTATATTTGTAAGTTCATCATATTACACTTAGCAGTTCATCCTACACTGTTCTTATTGCATTCATTAAATTTTCATTGGATCAGTAAATCTTGCTGGATATGATGGTTATATAACCTGCTAATTAAATGAGCCATTATTTATACCCATTATAGACTATTTGTCATTTACGAAATTATTGATTGGTCATTTCTATACTATACACTTTTTGATAAGCTGTTACGCTTTATAAGAATAAATTTCTGTTTATCAATAAAGATTTTTTTGTTATCTAATTAGAATAGAATAAAAAACTTGCAGGGATCAACTTTTGCTTCTTTGCTCGTTTAATAAAAATGTTTTGAAACTATCAATGTACTATGTATAATGGATGATAGAAACTGATGTTAGTGAGAACCGGTCAACAACATTGAAGATAAACCTGACACATATCATATTTTTAAGGTACATTACAACATTAGGCTAAAATTCGTAATATTATCCAATGTGAATTACTCTTATTTTGTTAGTAGTTCACTAAATGTAACAGTTAATAAACAATTCAATGGTCATTTGACGAAATTAAATTATATTTCATATAATGAAATCACCAAAATGTTATGGAATATTTGTGTTGTTAAGTTAATAATAATTTTGTTAAGATTGCTGAAGAAATGGAAACATTTAAAAAATGTAGGTTGTTTTCTAATTTGTTAAAAAATGTTGTGATCATTTGAAAACAGTTTAATGGATTTCCAATGTTAACCGCAGGCTGTGAATGACCTCGGAAATTAGAATAGGGAAGTCAATAATTAGGGACTAAGGTGGAGATAAAGAAAACATGATAGGTGACCTGGAAAATAAATGCATATATATATATATATATATATATATATATATATATATATATATATATATATATATATATATATGAATCAGTCCACAATATATTTTAGACAATAGTAATTAACAATTAATAATTATGATAAACTAGAGTTGTTCTATCGGTGTATGAACAAATCGATAGTCTTGAAGAATTGGTTAATCAAAATAAGAACTTACCAAAGCTAAACATTATTTGATTTTCTTTACGTGTTCGAAACTCGAAAAATATTTTTTCATCTATCCCATCTGTGTTAAAATGAAATGTAGCATGATTTTGTTCATTAAGATTCAATATATTTGATGAGTCTTCTAAATAATGAATTAAGAAACAAAAACAATGATTGTATAGATTGTAGCAAAATAGTTTTAACATTGATATATGAATTACTTTTCATTCAATCATCACATGAATTACATACACGTTAGAACAAGTGGTACGCGACGTAAATACACATCATCTTTGTATATTGATCTTATCTGAATAAACCTTTTTTATTTAGCACAGTGATATAGCTTTCCTAAGAATAATCATACTTAGTCTGGAAGAATAGCTAAATGATAATCTCCGTCAGTATATCATCGGAGGGCAATATATGCATAACTTATACGATGCATCAGTTCCCTCAAAAATTAGCTGGTCTGGTATCTCCTACTAAACTTTATCAACCACCTTATACTAACGGCTTTTTTAATCTATATATATAAACAAACCAATTAATAACAACTAAAGACGATTTTGCTCACTTATGTTAACCGTTTAACGATTTAAATAGTTTATTAAAAACCATGTTGGATTCATAAGTGCTCTAACTTCTAGTTGGATACAAAGGAGTTCGAAGAGTTTTCGAAGTATACTCGAAGTAATAAAACTTAACAGAATTACAAAAAATAACGGAACAGGATACTGTACATCAAGAATGTTAACCAAATTTAATAGTCCAAAAGTTACTCAAGAATTGATATCAACTAGCGATTTATTGAAGTGAAGTTAAATCAGATAGAAATAAAATTCTGCACCAAAAATTATAACACTTTGAACAGTCGTTTCATCCTAAGTCGCATCAGTACCTGCTAACAATTCAGTCAAGAACATTAAATAATCGAATCAGTCACAAGGCATCTAAAGTAATATGTTGAAACCCATTAAGCTCAACCTCTGGTTAGTACGAAACAGCTGTACACTATTCCCTTGATTTCCATGGCTTCCCAGTTGACATTAGTATTCGTTAAGAATTTACTTTATTTTGAACAAAATTCATGAAAGACTCAATTCTCTATCCAAGTGAATGTAAAGTTGATAAACACAACTTTTCACCACTTTTCAGTTTGACTACGTGCCTAAGTTCAAACTGATCATCTTACAATAGGATCAACTGGTTTTGTAACTTACTCTCTTTTAGCTATTCATATTTTTAGATCTAACTAGTTTTATAAAGGAAAGCTATTAACTTATCTACACTTCAATGATATTAGATAGTTTGGAATTATTTACAAACCATTTCAAAATGTTCACTATATAACTCAAATTCTTAGTAGAAGAATAAATTTATTTCCAATCTGTCATATTTACCTATCGTTTCTAGTCGCATGATATGAAAGACAATACAACTTTTCACAAAACTGTTTTACTGAAAATGAGCATAAAAATTATGAAAATTCACTGTCAAATCATTATGATGACTAGCGACGTAAACATTTTTGTATATTTTCAAGTGTAACATTATATAATGTACATAAAGTGAGCGACATTCCCGATGCATTAAAGATAAAATAGTCATTATTATTATTAGCTTTATTCAATGTTATATTTTTGGCACAATATAGAGTTCTCAGAACAAAGTATTTCAGAGAGTTTCATTTTTTGCCAGACATCACTATATTTCTGATTGTACATTTTCGTAATTTGTACAGCAAAAGGTCATAAACTTGTCACAAACGCACTTGAATAAGTTATGTAATAATGGTCTGTTAAAGCAAACAAGGGAACAGATAACCTGTTGAAATATCAAGATGGCAGAAACAGGTCGAGTTTTAACCTCAGAATTGTCATATATTCTAACGTTTTAGTACATAAAGCATTGTTTCGGTAGTAATAATTTGGTAGTACCTTTTTAGTAGCCTGATCTTCTCCCTCCCCCCCCCGAAAAAAAGATGTACGATTCAAACAAAGTGTTGATATCTTATGTAACACAGTTCATTGATCATTCAATGCTCATATACAAATCGAAAATGATAGAGGAAAAATACACAACTTCACTTTCAGGAAATTATAAGCCAATAACTACAATTACACTTTTTACGAAAGGTATATTACAAATACGAAACACTGAATAGATATTACAAACGAGTTTAAAACACTTCATTAGCTTTAGCAAATGTTCTTCCGAAACTGTTTGTTTATAAACAAAACTGTCATAAGAATCATGAAACTACACTATTAAATCATTATGATGACTAACAACGTGAACTTTATTGTATTTGGGATATAATACATATATTTTTTGAATTATTTTCTCTGGTTAGCGTTTTTTTAGCGAGTTAGTTTTCTATGGGATGGGGTTGCTAACCACACACTCAACCCTCTTCTTTTATCTGGGCTTGTGACCAACAGTAGCCCAAGAATGGCTCCAGGCAGAAGGCCCAGGACAGAGTGGGTTAGAGAATGCTAGTCGGCGGCCTATACTCTATTGAGAGTAACGGGCGCAAATAAGTAAGCATGTATTTTCGTAGTGATAACTAAATGTGTTTAATATACATACGTATATCTGTTTACTTTCTTGTCATTATTCAAAACTCTTGACTCAATAAAACTAATGGAATTCTATTATAAACGACTAAATGTTTGGAATTAAAAAGAAGAAAAATAATATCCAGGTCATGTTATTATAATCGTAAATTCACTAATAAAAAGAAAGAAACAAAAAACAAAACCCGAAGTGAATAAACTGGCAAATCACGTTTGATAAAGTTGGGTTTTTTTTAATTTTTTTCATTTAGATCATACATGATATTCAGTTATGTATAATATTTTACTGATTAAGGACATTTTGTGGTTAATTTCTAATCTTTTCTAAGTCCCATGTGGCTTAACCTGTATGACTTTATTTGGATACAATATTATTACTTCCATCTTATATATCTAAATTTTTATTCAAATGACCTTGTGTAACAATCTAGAATATGATGTTTTCAAAATTGTATGATTTTTAATTGAAAATAGTAATGAAATGAAACTATTTTCAGTGGTCTTTCTTTTTCTTTTACTTCTCATCGATATTGAGTTTACTTAAATTTAACAAAATATCTTTTCAATTTAAAGAGTATGTGGAAAATAAAAGAATATAAGAATAAAGTTTAGGAGGAATAATAGTTCTGTTTATCTGAAATATCATTTGTGAATTAGCTCTTTTAAAGTTATTACCTGTGCAAAACTCGGATAAAAGAGGAGTGTTGGGTATAGGGTTAGTGACCCCCCATCCTGTATAAAAAATTAACTCGCTAACCAAAAAGAAAACGCTAACCAGAATATAATCGATGATAAACAGTTATTTGAAAAGAATCTTTTATTTAGTTTTCTAATCGATCAATAATAAATATGTTTTATTATTGTACAAGCTTCAATTATGAACTATTAGATAAAAAGAGATTTCGACACAAATCAGTATTGTATAAATTAATAGATTTACATTCTATCCAGTCAATTATAATCATGAGTGATTATCTCTAAAAAAAAATTTAGGTCGTTTACAATACATCCAAGCAAACAATAATATGAAAGTATTTTAGTAACTGTCCTAGTCATTTTAATGATAAAGGTTGTAAATTTAGGATATAACTAAATGAATATAATTTACTTAATAATATCGAAATAGTTGAATGTTGACCGATTGTCCTTTAATGAACTTAAAAGACGTAAACAGAAGTTGCTACTTATTTTAATAAAAGACCAAAGTTATTAGTCGTTAATGGAACACATTATTGTTAAGTGTACGACATTTTCTTAAATATTTTATGATGTATTAGATGTAGATTAACTTAAGTCCACTGAATAAATCTATTTCCCGTGCAGGAATGAAGAAGATATTTGGTATACATGTACCATAACAACAATAGAAATTCACGTATTGAGTCATATGGAACTAGAGCAAGTAATCCAAATAGATGAGGAATCTGTAATCGTAGCAATTCACATTAAAGAAAAGCTTAACAATGGTCAGAGTTTATTTTAAAAATTAAATTTCCAAAGTTTAACAGTGCTATGTCTATTGATTTAGTTATAAAATGCAGTAATTTATTGATGTGAAACAACTATTCTGAACTGAGATGTATTAGCATCCATATCTTCAGTTAAAGTGTTAAAAGATCTATTGTCTAACATTCTTTTCCTTAAGTTGTAGTTGCTCATTTATTGACATTTCGAAATCATAGTATTAATGATATTCAGAGAACATGTAAAATGGAGTTATTTACCGGTAGGTTTAGTCATAAAAACATTAATTATAATCGTTGACCTAATATCATTGTGTAAAGAGAAGGACTACATAAACTGTCCGACTTGAAGACATGCAAATTAAATTCGGAGTTGTTATTGGGCTTCGTTCAAGCTGAAAACTGCAAGAAAATGGGACGATTTGAACTCAAATATAACCTACAGTACTGTTAGGACCCAAGTTATACCCAGTTGATTAATTATTGCTTAATATAATGTAAAGAAATCTCAATTTTCGATTGAATTACTCATTATGAGTCTTATTTAATATAACATCCGTTTTGCTTCAACATGAGGATCATTCAGTGTAGTATTTGACCGTTTTTTCCAGTATGATATTCTCTTCTGTATAATATGCGATATTCTTGCATTCACTTGACATGAACTATGCTCAGTAAGTGATTTGTTATAACTGATTATGTGATCTGATCCTAATTATTTATCAAAATGGGTGTACAATCAATATATAAACCAGTGTATTTTAGACTATATTCGATTCGTCGTCGTGATAGTGTTTTTGGGCTAATAAATCTTCACTTATACCAGTCTTGTGTTCTCATTTCGCGTCGTGGGAATTGCAGAGATCCCTCGTTCCGAGTATAAGTGATCAGCGTTTTTTCCAGCACAACAATCAGCGACGACCAACTATAACAAGTACAAATTACGTACAAATGTTTCCATATATTATTTTTTATACATCTCATTCCTTCTTCTACATAACTTAGTTGTTCAATTGAGATAAAGGTCGAATATTGACAAAACAGAGCATAAATGTTGTTTTTTAGGTTTGCAGTAGTTGTTTATTTCTGTTCAAAGTCTA